TGTAGGGGTCGCAGATCATGCGGCAGGTGCCCATCATCTCGTAGTGGGCACCGCTCTCGGCGGGCGCCTGCAGCAGCAGCAGGGGTACGGCGACGAGCAGAGCGACGGCCATGGCCAGGGCGAGCCCGGCGGCGGCCAGCAGCCGCCTCCTCCGCTGCCAGAGCCGGGCGGCGAGAGAGAGCAGGTCCTCCTTGCCTCCGTGCGAGGTAATGGTGGCGCGGGGGCCGGCCGCTCCCTGCGGGGGGGGACGGCGAGAGAAGGCGGTGAGCCCCCCGCCGCCGGCGCCTCCCCGCTCAACCCGCTCGCCCCGCCATTCCGAGAGCCGCCGCCCCGCTCCGCTCCGCTCCGTTCCTTCCGAGGGGGCGCGGAGCCCGGGGCGCCCGGCGGGGCAGGGCCGGAGCGGGGGCGTCGCGGAACGGCCGCCCCTCGTCGCCGCCCCGACGTGCGGGGGGAGTGGAGCGGACCCACCTGCGGGGCAGCGCCTCTCGCCGGGGCCGCGTGCGGTCAGCTGCCCCCGCGTGGGGCGGGCCGACGCAGGGGAGAGGCGGCGGGACGCTCCCCGATGCCCCCCCAGTTCCCCCCGGATCCCTCTCTCGTCCGTCCCGTCCCGCCCGCCCCTCGCGGCGCGATTCGGGGATTCTCAGGCGCATCCAACAAGCGGCCGTCTTACGCGCGGTGACATCGTCCCCTCGGCTCCCTCTGCTCCTCCCGTCCGGCCGCGGCCGCGCAGAGCCGCGCGGAGAGCAGCGCGGCTGCACCGCACGCCCCTTCCAGCTCGGTCCCCCCACCCCCCGGCTGCCAGGTGGGAGAGCGGCGTTGCGAGGAAATACCTTCCACAGAATTCTCGTTGTATGGGTTTCCCTCTGTGTGTTGGCTCCAAACCAAGCGCTAGTGGGATTTTTATTTTTTTTTTTATTCCCCCCGTCCCATAAATTGTAATTCGTTGCCTTTGATGTTCTGGTTAAGCGGTGGTAGTGCAGCCGAAGCTCTCGCAGCTTTGCATTCTTTCAGGGATCTGCCCCCGGAATATACACTGTGCCCAGCAGCGGGGCTGAGATGAGGGCACAGGGACTGTGTGAGGTCCAGGGAGATCTCTGCATTTGAGTGGGAGATGGGGGAGTTCAGAATGGGTACTGCGCAGCTGAACACAGCCCTGGGACTCTTCTGTGGCTCTCCTTGGAGTTAAAGAGGGGACAGCAGGGCAATCCCAGCAGGCATGCACCTGAGGATCGCGTCTCACTCTCTCTGGTGTTATCCTGGAGTCATTCAGGTTTCGCTGCACTGCTGCTGGGATCAGGATTCAGCCCGGGCCCTCCAGAACTGTCTGAATCTTTCATGTCTATGTATGCGAAGCTGGTAGGGGAATTAATCCCATAAATGCAAAGCCTTTCCCCGTGTGTCGTACTGGTAGTCACACCGGAGTAAGGGTGTCTGTTACTCAGCACACTGCCACTGAGTGTTTCAAGAGGCAAAGTTGTGACAAAGCTGTAAATCCTCTTCCTCTCTTCTGAATTAACAGCTGCATCCTGCAGTGTTATTATCCAAAGCCTTGTAACATGTAACTTGTCCAAAGCCTTGTAATGTGATTTCTAGTCACTGTTTCTGTTTCAGCCCTAGTGTAATTTTCCATGTAATAGCTGCATTACATACAAATACATTCGCAAATAAGTGATGCCACTTTGTTGATCATCCCTACTTACGTGTCTGCTAATTTCCCTTTTGTTCAAGAATTTGTCACTAGCTCAGCTCTCCCTGTACGTGAGTCTTCCCTGTCCCCCCTGCTCTCTGCAGCCCTCACCACAACATCTCTAATCTCCTGTTTTCCAAAGGCAGCCGCTACACCGTCGCTTTGCTAAACCTTTTTCTGAATAATTAAGTGCCTGTATTATTTGGGCTCTGGTGCAACTTCCCCGTTTCCATCGGCTCCCTCCTCTAATGAGGTGGCCAGTGCTGGGAACTTTATTCCGAGCGGAGCTCACAGGTCCCTCTGCAAAGCCGCAGTAATTTGTAGAGCAGCGTCTGCTGTGCCCGCGGATCAGCACAGGCAGAAGCAGAAGTGTTGTTCCAACTTACAGCGGAACAGTTCTTAATAAGGGAAGTTAAGCGCTCAAACAAGCAGGCAGAGGAGATTATGGTGATATCGGCACTGAGGTGTCCAATTTCAGCAGTTTTGATTAGGAATAATTTTATCACTGCTCTGTAATGCAGTGAGAGGGATGGAGTGCCCTGTTAATCTCTCTGTCAGATTGCTTTAAGGTAAACAGTGATTTCAGCATTGTCTCCAGGAGGATCCATGTTTCAGCCCTAACTTGGTGGCAGCAGGTGCTGCCAAGGTAGCCCTGGGGAGGTGAGGTGGCTGTTGCCATGCTGTGACATATCTGGGGCTCTGGGTTAAAGCACTCTGGTCTGGAGATCCAGTTTTCCACCCAGAGCTGCTGCTTCATTGGGTCCACATCCTCACCTCAGCAGCTGGCTTTGTGTGGCTTTCTTCGGCCACGATTGATGAAAGTTTTGGGTGACATTGCCATCTGACCCCCTGAAGTGCTTCATTCTTCCCCTTTCTCAAATCACAAGACTCACAGGTTATCACTGATGGAATAAATATTCTGAAACTTTGTGCATTCAATAGCTGGTAACACATAATGTATGCACTCCTGGAAAGTGAGCTAAAGTACTCAGATCTCACTAAAACTAGGTGTGTATGATATGATTTCCATTCACAGCATGTAGAATACGAAGATGCTAATTGCTTCCACTTGATAGTAAGCTTATCTTTCACCTGCCACTATCCCCATGAACATCACCCTATAGGTTTTGACCCACCCTGGGGATTCTGGCAGCAGCACGGTGCTGCACTGAATGTGGAGGAACTCTTAGGGGAGCTCTTGGTACCCATCCCCAGAGCAGACTCTCAGAGTGAGGGTGAATACAGCCCTCCTTCCCCAACCCTCTGCTTCTCAGCGTGCTCTCACAAACTGCTTGAGGAGAAGCAGGTTGGCCCTAGATTTGTCTTGTTCAATTTGTCTCCTTGGATAACTAATGCTTTTCCAGTGTGACTGCTGGGATAACTCCGCACTGGCGATACAACCAAGCATCTGTTTCTGTAATTGAGCTGGGGCCTTCCGTACGACATACAAATGATGAAAGCACATTTCTGGTAAACATCGGATTAACTCCAAGCAGTGAAGACTGACATTTTAGCAGGCAGTTGGATATCAGGGAATTTGGATATCTAGCAGGAGGCAGAGATCCTTCCCGTGAAATCTGAACGTAACACGTGCACATTTGGTCAGTGTGGATGAGACCAAACCGTTGGCAGAGTCTCCCGCTGAGCACCACCATCCGTCTCATGAGCCCTCTGCAATGCCTCAAGCCTCTGTAACTTCTAAAGAGGGAATGGGGAGGCTGGAAGGTCAGAGAGCTAAAATCAGCCCTGTTATGCATATCCCTTATCTTCATTTAGCAATGTTTCCACACCCAACAATTAGGCTAATTATTTCTATTCTGTGAAGGAAAAAATTGCTGCGGGGATTTGATGTGCAAGGGCAGCTGGTTTAACCAGGATGAAAGACAAACATTATAAACACTTCTGAAGTGCATTTGGGCTTCCCTCTGGGAGTCAGCTAAACCTGCAGTCAGGTACCAGAGAGAATTCATCCCCTCAAGACAAAGACAAGAGTAAAATCAGGAAGGAATAATAGCCAAATGCGCAGGTGTGACAGATGGCATTGAGCAGACATCTGTGGCATCGCGTTCTGCAGCCATGCTCAACTTTAACCATACATCCCTCAAAAATTAAATGCATCCCTCTGTTAATCAGGTAGCATAAAGAGGGAGATGTGAGGGTCAGAGAGCCAAAGCTAAGCATGTTGGGACACGTGCCTTTGGGATGCTTAGGCATCAATAACCAGGCTAACAGAGGTGGTTATTTTTGAGAAAGCCTGGTTAACCCAAGAGAAAGATTCACAAAGATGGCTCCGTAAGACTTAAAGAAGGTTTGATTAAAACATGGTAAAATTTTCCCAACATATGTAGTCACCAATGATGATTGATCCAAAATGAACAAATTAAAAGCATGACAATGGGCTTTATTTAGAAGCATTCTGACCTTTCTCGTATGACTCGTGTCCTGCTGTCTCGTTACTTGTCACTCTCAGTCACTGTATCTCGCTTAAATGAGAAGTGTAAGCTCTCCAGGGCATAGGACTGCATCTTTTTTTCATCTGCTTTGTACAAAAATGCGGCAGGGAGACTCCTAAAACTGTTACACAAAACACAAACAAAACATTTTAGCTTCAGTTTTGCACTTGAGTGAATTCTTTCGCCAGGAAAGAAAAACACAAATCTCCTGTGTGAATATCAGCAGGAAGTTCTTTGTTCACATAAGCCAAATGTAGACTAAACCACAGCCATGGAAAAGCAGAGATCTCCTCAGCAATGAGGCTTATTAGATTGTGGTGTATTTCCTGGGGGGGAGCAGTGGAGGCTGCAGTGCTTGGGGTTCAGAGGGCGAGGTTGGGCAGAGCCAGTGACTGCACTGCAGGGCTCCGTCCCCGCTGGCAGGAAGATGGATGCAAAGCCCAAACGATCTTTTCTGTTTTGTTCCTCTATGATCCTTATAAGAGAGATTGATGCTGACAGCATCCAGGTGGCGTGCCCATGACTCAGCTGTCACGTCACCGCTTACAGCTTTAAGCCAGTGAGTCAAGGAATGAAAAACAGGTGGAAGGAGGAGGAGAGCCCTCCTAAAGTGCTCACCTCCAGCCATCTCTCTTCGAGCGAACAGAGCCAATTGCAGACCACAGAGGCAAGGAAGAAGGAGAGGCAATGACAGAAGGAGCGGCTGGTCACCTTGCTCCAAAGGCAGCGAGCATCCTCCCTGCCCTGCGTGGTGTGGCAGATAAGCCTGGGGTGAGTTAATGTGCTTCTCTGAACCAGAATTGTCCAAGTTACGTGGTAGGTCTGGGGCCTGCTGAGACTTGTGAACATGCTGTGGCTGAAACAAGTATTAAATCCATCAAGTTCAGCTCGTGTTAGGCAGGAAAGGTAACCTCACGGATGTCTGGCTATGTATTTTCATCAACACAAGGATTAAAGCTAAGGTCTGACTTC